ATTTGAGCTGATTCCATTAAGTTTGTATTTTTTATGAATTTTTAAAGTTGCTTCAGAATTGAGTTAAGACTGTACTATAGTACAGGATATTTCATAAAGAGGGTTCATGTATAATAATGAAAATGATCATGAACTACAACTGTACCTTGATCTAGTGTCAGCCATGTTCTCCATTCAATTGGAATAAACTCAACTCTTTTATTCTTCCATTGATCAGGAAAATGCTTAAGAGCAGTTTGTCTACAAGTATCCCTCAAACTATCAGATGAACAGTAAAAAATATCCATCAACCAATTCTTATTTCATTATTACTTTCAACTACATGTACATACACTTTCTCTATCTTTTTCTCCTTTATTTATCTTCTCTCCCTCCCTCCCTCCCTCTCCCTCTCTCTCTCCTCCTCCCTCACTCTGAGGTGCTCTTCACAATGTCAGATGCGTCCATATTCTGTCCAATCCCATGAATCACAAAAACAAGATGGCCGATGGGCGGTGATGTTCTTGTAGGTAGACATGCTTCCTTGTATCCTCTCATTAACTTGGTGGCTCCGTACTGCTGACTGATACCAACCTTCCCTCCAACTTTATTTAATAACTTTGATGTCAGGTCTGTCTTTATCTTCACAATGTCATTCTCTCCAGTCCATACTGCTTCATATCCATTACATGAGACCTGATTCAGGACCACTAAAATAAAATAAAATAATAATAATAATAATAATCTCAATAATAATAATAATTATCATCACATATTCTATAATCTTCATTGTATTAGGTACAAGTATATTTATATACAAGTGTATTTTATATTTATCATGTAATGATCATTGGACAGTCATGTGACTTACTCTCGCCCGTAAGCTGTCTGAGTCTCAACCAAGTACTTCTTTGCGTTGGAGTGAGTGTGGTTCATGGTGAGAGCACTTTCAAAGTCTTTGATGGCTTTTTCATACTTTCCTTTGTTGGCATAACTGTAATAAAAATAATTATTATTTTAATTCATATTAAAAATAATCATTAGTTATTATTATGTTATAATAATTATTATAATTACAGTGCTCCTCTAGCAACCATTGCTTCAACATTCTCTGTGTCAATTTCAAGAGCATAATTGAAATGTTTCAATGCATCTTCATATTGATGCTTTTTAAAGCATTCAACACCACTGGCAACACTACAGAGAAGGAAAAAGAGGAGATGAATGTGTAAATTGTTTGTCATTATAATGATTACTGTGCAAAATGTACATACATGTACATGTACCACAGTATCAGAAACTTACGTATCCATAGACCATTTAGATCTTTGTGATTTCCTTAAAGAGTCATAATATTCACCATCTTTAATCTCAGTCCTAAAAGGATATATTACATTAAAATTAATTCATATTTCTGATACTACAGTTCCCATTTCATTAATTACTAGTATACTGTCTCTCACATGGAGATTGGTCTTAGAATACTGAAGGATTGAGGAGAAGCAGTCGATAGTCCCAGGACTGATTTTAGATTATCAACACAAGACGGGTTTTTAAAACCTGATGATCTGGTTAGTTTATCAATGTAATCCGTAGGTCTAGGACTAGAGAGAGGGAGAGAAGAATTTCAAAACTGCGTGAAAATTCTTATACTTACATCTTAGGAGGTAGTGGTACATCAATATCAATGTAACCCTGTGAATGCAGAAATTATAAAAATTTGTAAAAAATCTAATTTTGTTCAGAATCAGCTCAAACTTGAAACACAACACAAGAACATGTATCAGGAAAAATTATAAAAATAAAGAATTCTCTCCTTTCCATTTTTGATAAAATTCCCAGGTATTATGGTCTATTACTATTACACAATATTTGGCTATTATTAATGCTGTAGAGCTCCTACCCTTACCAGTTTAAGTTCAGTGTTATCAGTGCAAAAAGACACTTGAACAACACCAGCCTCTACTCCAAGTATCAAACCTAATCATACATATGTACATATGTATATAAACATGCATACAAATGTACAAGTACCGTATTTCCTCGTGGAAACGCCTACTCCCTATAAACGCCCATGCCTGTATAAATGCCTAGAGACAGCACATAACTTTGACAATAAACGCCCATGCTTGTTTAGATGCCCATTCTTGATTAAAAGCCTATACCACACCCACCTACCCCATCCACGTGGTACATGTACCTTACGTAGTTTAGTAGTTTACATTCTACAATGGCAGCTGCAGCTGAGAAGGCTAAAGAAACTCAGAAGTTTTGATGTCAGTTTTAAACTACGCGTTGTGTCTATTGAAACATGGTGGTAAGGATTATTTTTGGGTTATAAATGCCCACCTCGTATAAACGCCTAGCAAACAGGTCTCTATAAGAAATAAACGCCTAGGCGTTTCCACGAGGAAATACGGTAATCATGGTAAATTTAAATAAATGTAATTATGATGGTAAATACAATTACCTTGTACAACATCATCAATCTGATACTCTTTCAAAGCATCTTTAGCCTTTGCAGGGTCACTTGCTAAATTCTCGACCTTCACAAGACCCTATGGTTCAATTTATAACAACATAAGACCCGGCCCCCTCTGTATAGAGTCCAACCTTTATCCTAAAATCTGCTATTTCTCTTCTTACAGCTGGTAATGATGATGATGATGGTAATAATTCCGTCAGTTCAATAGTTAGTCCGTTACTGGATACTTTACTGACAAAACCCTCAACTAACTGACCAGGAACCATCAACTGAACAAAGTACAATTAATATATATAAATAAAAAGATACTGTACTATAGAATGTGCATGATGTTACTTGTAATGCTCTTTCAGTTCTATACGACACATCAATCATCATCTGATACTCAATTGGAGGGAAAGTTCCATACATTACACCT